GCCCGGAGAGTCGGTTAGAGACTGTGGTCGTTTCTCCGTGGGTTTTTGGGGAGGGTGGGGATAGTACTGTGTGTCAGAAAGTTGTTTTATTTCTCCAGGGATGATTCTTTTGTGTAAAAACCTGAATTTTAAGTAACAAATGAGGTTCAGCCGTACGATTGTGGCATCAACCAGTCGTGATTCTGGATCCTGTTGGATTCGGCTGAATGTATACAGACTTGTGCGTGGGATTTTAAATAATTTATTTAAAATTTTTTAGGTCTCTTCAGGTTCAAGGGCTCAACAGCAGTTTCTTGAGATGCATGATACTTTGTTTTTGTGTTTTTAGAGCTACATCACAAAAGTTGTCACCGTCATTGACAGCACTTGCCAGCTGAGAAACTGAACCCTGAATGAGAAAAACTGATCCCCCTTCCCTGCCAATGACAAGGCTCTCAAGTAGGGTAATGTGGCAGCTGCTGATATACGTGTTTCCGTGACTGTTCTTGCAGATTCCTGAGTGGAACCTTTGGTCTTAGCTGATACTATAACAGAACAAAGATTCCTAAATTATGATGTCCTGATGCTGTGCAGTCATTTTAATTAAATGAGCTAAACGCAAAGATGGTGGTTGCAATTATTTTGTTGAACAGCAGATTGCTGATGGTATGCTCCATGGTGGATCTACAACATTGGGAGTGACCTGGAGCTGAGACAGGTTGTACCTAAGCAAAGTCCATTTAGACTGGAATTCCAGAGGCTTGCAGAGATGTAAATGACTGAGCTTCTTCACTGTAAATTATGGTCATTGTAAAATTCATGTTGGTATCTCTGTTCTAAGCATCTTTTAACAATAGAAGAATATGTTTTAAGACAAATCATCTTTTGTTAATTGATACAGTTATACGTTCAGTACTTTGTAGAAACTACTGTTGAAAGGCAATTTAAGTGATTGAAAGATCTATTTGGAGATTTAAACTTATCTTCACAGTGTATATACATAAATTCAACAGATTTTTTTTTTTTTTTTTGCTGAAACACCAGCCAGCAGAGGGTGCACAGGTTAACTGGGAAACCTCATTCCTGAGCTATGTTTGTCATTGATGGCTTCCTCTTGACCTTATCCTGGAAAACGGGTTAGTTTGTTGAGTCAGTTTTGTGTTACGTTCTGCTGTTGACGTTCTGCTGTATAAATAAATAACTGAAAGGGAAGTGAACTGCCTCATTGAAAAAAGGAGAAAAATGGAGGGGAAGAAGTTAGGAATTCCTTTTACTTTGGGCAGGTTGGGCAGAATATTTAAAGGAATAAATTTCACATCTGACAAATGCTCATTGCTGTGTAAGGAGACAACTTGTCTGTAGAGTTAAACAGATGCATAGGTGTTTGCAGGATTGTGACCCAGAGCTTTATCTGTGAATCCCCCTCTTCACATTAATGTGTGATATTTAAGAATTTGTACAAAGTGACCAGTACCTTCCTAATTTCTATTTTCAGATTCTTTTAGTCGTAATACTTATAATTGCACAGTTTCTGAATGTGCCATGACTAGGTGATACAAACAAAAAATAGTAGGACAATTAACACTGAAAATGCTATTGCAAAGACATTCAGTACAAAAGTGGAAATTCCATTCCAAGAAAGATTCTAGGCTATCAAAATAGGTTGTAACTTCAGTTGGAATGAAAGTTAATTGAAATCATAGTATTTTTCACAAGTTGAAGTGTTTTGAATTTGGTTAAAGTACTCTACTGAAACTTCAATATAAAATCAAAATACTCTTTGATAGTAAGATCAAAACATCTCTATAAATTGAAGTGATACAGTTTCAGCAAAACATTTGACCTAGTCAAAACAAAATCTTGAAACATTCAAAGAAATAAAAAAGTTACATTATAATCAAGCGTCAATAAAATCAGTGCATTTCTGAAAAACGCTTTGATTTTATTGAATCAGCATTTTCTGACAAGCTTCTGTCAGAATTTTTGTCAGCTTTTTTTGTAAGGGAAAAAGGAAATAGGAGCTCAGAGTAGTTGAGGATGGAACAAATTATATTAGTCACTTATAGCAACTGAACTGCACAATTTTATCCGTAGCATTGATTTAAATGAAAGGTTTTTTTAGTTACTTCATGATTACAGCATTTGTATTAATTGATTAAAGATTCAGTATATAAAATATATCTTTATTTCTAAGGTACCTGTTCTTTCCTTCCATTTTAGGCATTCATATCTTTTTGATCTTGCAGCTGTCATTATTTTATCTTTAGTTGCTTTTTTTTTATTTTTACATTGGCTTAAAAAGATATTAACTAGTATAGTTCATTCCCTCAGTACTGGGCAGAAAGCTTTCTTGCTCCTACTGTCTTCCCAGATAAATAGATACATATGCCAATGTGAATTAATATTGCATTTCATAGTGTCATGGAAGCACATTTTCCTCTTCTTGTAGGAATGGTGTAGTGATTACTTCTTAAAAATAAAATAATAAAAATCCACTTGAGTCTTTTAATACCTGTGGTTTTATAAGATACTGCAAAAATGATTTATATAGGCGAATAACAGGAATATTGAGAGAAACAATTCTCCGTGAATACAAAAGTAGGAAAATAAATAGTAATTATTGTCCATAGTAGCATGCTGTTTGCTTTCTTACTTTTAGAAGTGATTATATAGTATCTACGCACATTATTTTGTCCCAAATAATATTTCTTCAAGTCCAGCTACCGATCTTCTGCATGTGTAGTTCCAGTAGATGTTTTCAGTAAATGGGCTGTTTTATAGGATTCATTTCATTCCTTCCAGTACTTCTTGGCTTGAAAGGTATGGTCAAGAGAATACAAAATCTTCTCCCCTTGTATAAAATATTTCCTCTCTCCTGGGACTTTTTTAATGGGCTACCTAAAAAGTGGTATAAGAAAAGAACATTCTTACTCAGTGTTTCTGTATGAGTTTAGAATCATATCTGCTGCTTTTGTATTAAAAAAACATGTTGCTTTTTAACTGGTTAACTGTATTCCCTCTACAGGAGACAGAATAATAAAATACTCTGTTTACCCTTATTCATCAAGTATGTATATTTTGGTTTTGTTTTTCTTTCTTCCTTGGTAGTCAGAGCTGTGGAGTTAAGTTTTACTAAGGTCACTGTGTGCCCTCAAGAAGTGCTACATCATTCCCAGTGATGCATGAGAAGAAAAAACAGTTTTGGGTTTTAGATTTTCTGGGTCTGAAAAGTTGTGAAATAACTTATACTACAAAAAAATTGTGCCCATTTGAAAGAGTATAATTGAAAGACTAATCATGAAGCCGCAAGAGGGTTTCTTTAGTCACTTTGTAAAGTATAATAGCATTTTAAGCTTCCAGTTTGTCTTTTTGTAATAATGCCTTTTTTTTTCCCCCTATGGCCTTTCCCAGGTATACCAGAAAAATACTTGTATTGGTAAACGTTATGTTAGATCTTCTTTGAGAGGACTTTCCTCTGAAGCTCCTTTTAGTCTGCTTCCATCTTACGCTAAACTTTCCCAGAGCTCGTGTGCTTCCTCTCATGTGATTTTTCCACCATTTCCACTTCCTTCTTCCAGGTTCTTATGATACTTTATTGCACAAGATGCAAAGCCCTTGATTTCGTTCCCGATCATTTGTTCTGTTTTCTAGTTTCTTTACTTGATTTTCTTTACTATTTTCCAGCTGTATAATGCATCAGTTCTGTGGAGAAGTTTTCATCTTTATTTTCTAAAGTATTTAAAGACTTCTTTCAGTTGTCTGTTCTATGGAAGAAGCCCAGAAAGGGCTTATATTCTTCTCTTTGTACTTCACGAGCCTATATAAATGAGTCTATTTGACAGTAAGTCTACTATCTCATCTTTTACTTGATTTGGTCTGTTCTTGGATTGCGTCCAGATCTCAAATATTAGTATATGTATATTTTAAAAATATACACTGGTAATTCGTAATCATCTCTTCTGTGTTATCATTTTCTTAAGGTATTTTTCATGTTGTGTTCGCGATTGCTCTTTTACCACTTGCATCTGTTTTTTATAACTAAGGCATTCTGAGCTTTGGTAGTATTCGATGGTAATGAACTCAGTCAATATATGCTTTATACGAGAACATTGGCGATATTAGCTGGGAAATGCCATGTAGATAAGCTAAGTGCCAAATAGAGGAATTAATTGCATGAAGTTATTTATTTTCAGCATATTTTTCTGTCTAGAAATGTAACATAAACAGCACATCTTATTCCTAATATAGTCTAATTTTCCTTTTTGTAACAGATTCTTAGAGTTAGGCTCAATGGCTGCAGATGGAAGGAGTTGTTACCTTTGTAGTCAGAGATCCATCAATTGTCAAAATGTTTTCACCTAGTAAGTTTCCTGGAACTAGGTTCTCAAACAAAAATGAAAGTTTTTTTTTCTGGCATCTGTTTTAGAACTGATACTTCTAAAGCATTTTTACTCAGCAGTGAAGTGGTTTACAGTATGTTTTGGTGCATAATTTACTGTTTAAAAACAAGATTAGAACAGTTTTTTTCTCCTGCATCTAGTTTTTCCTCTAAGGAGATGATCCCCCAAAGGTTTCAATGCTGTCATCAGTTAAAAATGTATTATTTCTGGTCTAGCAGGCAGTTAACATGTATACCTTCCTTTGCATGACCTCCTTCACAAAACTGTACTAATGGTGCTATGTTTGATTGTAAGGGGAGATTTTTTTGTAAGACTGTTTTCTGTCAGATTCTCAACTAAAGTGAGGATGTGATCGGTGTTTGTAAAAATGACAAAATTCGGAAGGCTGAAATGCAGTGCTCCGCAGGGAATAAAATCTTCCATTTTGCTTTTGAGCATGGCTTCTGAAAAATAGTTATGCTTCTTCAAACTAAAGGCATTTTTAGTGTAATTCAGTTTCATGATAACGTCTTTAAAGGTGAAGGTTGAATTGTTATAATTAATAATCAAACTTAAAGTCACCTTGCTTTCCTGACTATGACTCCAAAGAAGGAAATAATTCTAATTCTTTCAGGCAACAATATTCCTTGCTGTCATTGCTTCAAGGTATGATAGTCTAATCTGACAAGGAGAAAAGGTGGTTACTTGTTTCATTAACAAAATCAATTAGTGAGCAATGACTCATAGGAAAATGTGATTTAGGCTTCCAAGTCACTTAGGTGCTTTTGGAACTTTTAGGAGCCAGATTGCCTGTTAATCTCATGATCTGTGGATCTCTGGCTCTCAGGGATGCGTGCAGGTCTCCAAGGAGGTCCCTCACAGTAAACACTAGATGCAAGAGTAAACTTAACTCCCCCACCCACCCCCCCCACCCCCGCTATCCTTTCAGGATTTATCAGCAAAACTTGTGCAATTATTGAAGGGGTCAAATTGTCAGAAGAAGAGCTCCATCTTTGGATTCTTACTGATGCCAGATCATTTTAGTCATCTGACTATATTTCCCATCTGTGCCTCTTTTCATGTTCTTACTGAGATATTTAGAAAGCCAAGCAAAATTATGTGACTAGCCTAGCAGCTGAGTCATTGTATTTTATGTTGAATATCAATGCTGGCACAGAAAATGCAGGAACTTATCTCAGATCTTTTTGAGTAACTAAAGGAGGAAGTGGATTTGTAAACAATTTGCAATGTAATCATGGATTTTTTTAATCCAGGCATTTCTGTAATTTAATAATAATTTTTGATTATGGTTTTAGTGTTTTCTGGTTTTTTTTTTATTTATTTTTGTGTTTAAGAGTGTTCATTTTGCCTTTATATAAATCATATATTTTGCAGAAATTGCCTAGGTGTATTAATGTTTATGTCTCATAGCTATTACTTTATAGTGTTCCATATACATTAATAATTATGCATTATTTTATGAATAATAATGCATGCACATTTTCAGGAAGAGAGTATGGATGATTTGTAATAATGTGGGTAGTTTATGTGTAAACTGGAATCGTTATTTTCGTTGCTCAACTACATAAAAAAAGAGCCATAATAAACTCTTTAAAATTAGAAGTGGTTTTAATTTTTTTTAATCGGACTATATGCTACGTTTTCACTATAATGTGAGGCCCCATGCCCTGGTAATATGATGCAGTCCTAGCAGCTGAAATGTAACAGGGTTTATATTTGGCATTGACAGCCAAAAGGCAAAAAACATTTTATTTAATCTTCGACAAATAAGAGAGAAGAGTTGGTTTTTTTTTTTAATCCCTTTCTCTTTTTTTGTGAGCTTAAAATGAATAAACAATGGCATTTTTAACAATGTGACTCATTCAAAAGTACACCTTAAATGAGGAATTGTTCAGTTAATTGAAGTGATTCCTTTGCTAGGTTTTGTATTGATGCGTACAGATTAATCTTTTTTTATTCACAGTGCAAGGCTTGTGATCAAATAGTACTATTTTCCTCAGGATAAAAATCTTCATTTTGTAGCCAGTTTGCACAGAATGTTTTTTTAATAATGTCTGTATTTGAACTATACTATTCCTTTGTAACTATATTTTGTATTTCCGGTACATTATATTTATAGGCATGATTATACAGAAGAAGCACTCTAAAAATGATTCTTAGTGCTCTTTTTTCCCCCCCCCCCCTTTTTTTTTTTTTTTTTTTTTTTTTTTTTTTAAGTCTTATGCAGAGCTCTTTACGGAAAAAAGAACAAAGGCCCATCAGGGTAAAAGTAGTAGGTGGAGTATTTTATTTTACTCATCTCCTAGAAAGCCTACATTAGCAAGAATATACCAGAAACCTAGAAGACGAAATGCTAGTACTAGATGCACACACTTGTTATCGTTCATTATTAATACTGTATGAAGAAACTCCAAGTAAAATAAAATACAGCAATATAAGAAGGAATTATACATGTAATAGAAAAATCTCAAGCACTTTGTAATTCTTGTGAACATGAATTTAACATTTTAAAACATTCCATTTCAAAGGAGGCATTGAACAGGGATTGCAACAACACTTGGTAGAAATTTTGGAATGGTTTCTCATGCATAATGTTTACAAATGCTTTTTTTGATCTTTCATTTCGTGAAAGCATAAAACCACAGTCACAGCTCTAGAATTAAATCTTTTGAAGACTGTAACCTAGTGAGTGGGGTGAAAAATGCCAAGCCCAATGACAGTATGTTCCCACTAGAACAAGTGATTTCTTTGCTGATCGCTTTTTGCTTGTCTTTTTAAAGGTACAATGTCAAACTTGTTTTATTGTTTTATTGTGTATTTTTTTTCACTGCCTGATAGGACTTTGAAACTGCACAAAATGATTTATCTTTCAGTCGTTTTTATTGTGGTAGCCTACTTTTGGCTTATTTGCACTTTCAGCATGCTCAAGGGACGTTGCTATTTTAAAAAAAGCATTTAAATTGATATTATAGTTAAAGATTATTATTAAAGTTGATATTGGTGCTTGACTATTTGACCAGTTTCTCATCTAAGTGACATAAACAATTAAGTTACAGCAAAACTGTAATTTGAGTTAATTGTGTTTTGTAGGTCTCTGAACAAAATGAATTTCATTACAAGGTTTTCTGCTTTATGTCTGAGGAAAAGCGAGATGCAGCCGAGGTACTGGAGTAGTAGACGACCAGCTGTTCCACTTGGATCACGGATTTTGACTGATCCTTCTAAGGTTTTTGAGCATAACATGTGGTGAGATGTCTCTTCAGGGTTTACTTTCACATATATATTTTTTTACTATGATGAATCATGGTGTCTCTGCATACGTAATGACGGACTGATAGAACAGATGTCAAAAGGTAGTGCTAGAGAGAACTTTAGACTGTTGGAAGTAACCTGACAGTTATGGAGCTCTCAGCAGCTTGCATAAAAAACTCCTGAGCAAGTAGTTAGTCATGAAATGAAAGACAAAATATCGTTACAGGTCAGTAATGAGTTAGGAGACAGAAAGAATAGGGAAAAGTAGTCCATTTTGTCATGGCAGAAAGTAACTCCTTAGGTGCCGTAATGTTGCATACTAGGTTAGTGCTGTATTGTAGAATTGATGCAATATCAAAAGTATCATATAAATTACTTGTGTTCTCCTAAGGTTAATTATTTTAACTTGTGAAGGTGTGCTGAAGATTTTACAGATAGTTCAGTAGAGATTGCCATACAACAGACAATTGTAGTCAGAAAGGTAAATTGAATCTTAACATGTGCAAGGGATGTAGTAGCAGAGAAAACATTAACATGTAAATGTTAGTCAGTTAAGATAGTGCCCCAATTTGCAGCAGTGGTTCTACTTCTCTAAAAGGTATTTTATGATTAACGGGGACTCAGAGAAGAGAGAGAACGCTGTTCAGTGCAATGGGAAAACTGTCTTATAGAGTGAAATTGAAAAGACTAGGATTTTTGACCTTCTTGGAGTGGAGATGATTAAGATAAAAGTATACACAACAGTAAGTGGTACAGATTAGGAACACCAGGAATTTTCGTTCTCGCAATTTCTCTCACTGAGTGGCCAGTGAGGTGGATTGAGAACTGGCTGGATGGCAGAGCTCAGAGGGTTGTGATCGGGGCGCAAAGTCTAGTTGGAGGCCTGTAGCTAGCGGTGTCCCCAGGGGTCGATACTGGGTCCAGTGTTGTTCAACTTGCTCATCAGTGACCTGGATGAAGGGACAGAGCGCACCCTCAGCAAGTCTGCTGATGCTACAAAACTGGGGGGAGTGGCTGATACCCCAGAGGGCTGTGCTGCCATTCAGAGGGACCTGGACAGGCTGGAGAGCTGGGCGGAGAGGAACCTCCTGAAGTTCAACCAAGGCAAGTGCAGGGTCCTGCACCTGAGGAGGCTCAACTCCATGCACCAGGACAGGCTGGGGTTTTACCTGCTGGAAAGCAGCTCTGCAGAGAAGGCCCTGGGAGTGCTGGTGGACAACAAGTTAAGCATGAGCCAGCGATGTGCCCTTGTGGCCAAGAAGGCTGGTGGTATCCTGGGGTGCATTCGGGAGAGCATTGCCAGCAGGTGGAGGGAGGTGATCCTGCCCCTCTCCTCAGCCCTGGCGAGGCCCTCACCTGGAGTACTGTGTCCAGTACTCCAGGGCTCTCCAATACAAAAGAGACATGGCACTCCTGGAGCAAGTGCAGCAGAGGGCTGCTACGATGATGAAGGGACTAGAGCATCTCTCCTATGAGGAAAGGCTGAAGAACTGGGCCTGTTCAGCCTGGAGAAGAGAAGCATGTGTGTAAGTATCTGAAGGGGGGTGTCGAGAGGATGGGACCAGACTCTTCTCCGTGATGCCCAGTGACAGGCCAGGAGGCAGTGGGCACAAACTGAACCACAGGAAGTTCCATCTGAACCTGAGAAAAAACTTCTTTGCTGTGAGGGTGACAGAGCACTGGAACAGGTTGCCCAGAGAAGTTATGGAGTCTCCTTCCTTGCTGATATTCAAAAGCTATCTGGACACAATCCTGGGCAAGGTGCTCTAGAGGACCCTGCTTGAGCAGGGAGGTTGGACTAGATGATCTCCAGAGGTCCCTTCCAACCTCAAACATTCCTGTGCGTGAGTATTCTTTTCTAAACTAGAGGTCTCCAAGCCATGGTACCTATACCACCGGAAGGCCAAATCTGGAGTTGTCTATACTTCTGTAAGTTCCTTGCTCAAGGAAGCTGGAAGCTGGCTGTTAATTATGTTTTGAGTATAAAGGCTCTATCTTTGTTCTGTAAATCTATATATAGTATAGTTTCTAAGCATCTTACGGACACAGTACCTCCTGTTAGATGGAAAAATCCTTTATTTGCGTGAAAGCTAATTCAAATGCAGGCTATATAGTTTATCTAGGTAGGAACAGATTTTAAGAAAAAGGCCATCCTTTTTCTATAACGTTGTGCCCAGGCAAAACTCAGTTTTGTTTCATTTTTTAATTTCCTTGCAAATAACTGATCACATATAGCTTCAGTTTTTCTTGCATTCAGTAACCGTCTAATACAGAGTTCTCAAACTAGGATACATGTGATTGGGATGGATTGTAAATATGTGTATGAGGATGAGGGGTGCAAAGATCTGTTGGGAGCAAGATCGTTCAGGCGGTGGATCTGCAGATGAATCCATATAGCTCCCAAGGGAGAACAGATGAAACAGAAGGAGTTGGAATAGAGGCTGCATGGATCCCACGAAAGTCTGACAGATCAAGAACCTGTGAAATCAGGGGGTGCTACTTGGATCTGAAGCTGACTGAATCAACAGGGTTCTCCTTAGGGAGATAAGGGGGAATCAGGATGAGCAGTGGTTGAGCTGGACAGATCATGTAGGGTGGGTATAAGGGAAAGATCTTCCCTAGTATTAGGTATGAGGATCCATATGTCCTCTTCTTGTTTTCCATTCATCTTATTAGGTAGTTTATAAAGTGGCACCCATTATTTTTCCTGTTTATATGAATTGACAGGGAGCCAAGAGCTGCCACCCTTGCTGCTAGGAATACTAAGCAAATTAAATTTGGGCACTAATGCTTTAGATATTTGCTATACTGCTTTTCTCTCATTCAGAGAGAATAACGCTGAACATTGGAGCAAAAAGTGTCTGCTTCCATTCAGGTTAGTAACTGGCTGAGTTTTCATGTGTTAGAGGTTCGGAGATAATTAGGCTCTATGTTGGCAAACAAGTTAATGGAAAAGGGATAAGTTGAGCAAGCTGAACTGAAGGTAGCCTTGCCTGATCTTATGTCAGGTCTGCTCATGTTGACAGTTTCTGATGAGGTGCAAATGGAGAGCTTGCTTTGGCGTTATCAAAGTTCAGCTTAAAACACTTCTGAATTTAAGCACTTCTGTGCTTAAAATTTTTCTCTTCTGTGTTTACGCTAGCTTACAACGCTGAAGGAGTTGTTTCATTTTAAGCATTGAAGCTGCTTAAATAGTTTGCCTAGGAGCTATGCTATTTCCACTCTCTCACAGATTTTGGTCAAGAAGTGTTGCTGCTTCTGTCCCATTGTGTATGATGTCTTTCATACAGATGCTTCTAGGAAAGAGCCAAGAGCAGCTACTTCAACTTTAGGAAAAGCCAAGGAGAGACAAGAGAAAAACAGAATTGTCGATTAAGATGGAGAACCTCAGACACTTACAGTACTGTATGTGGAGTACATAAGGGCTCTGACAGACACATGTTGGTGTGTTAAAATTGATCAGGCACACAAGCAAGTCATACAGTTAGCCTTTCTGACAGTTCCAGTTGCCATCTGAATAGTCCTGGGTTTCAGCTTGCTAGAATAGGCAAGGTCAAAAACGGCAATGAGGGAAGCAAGTCTTTCCAAGAGTATGGCTGACTGGTAATGCTTCAGTGGTTCAGTTTTGTTCTACTACGGTGCATCTTCTAGAGCCTTGACACTACACAAGAGTATTTTGTATGTGAACAAACAGAAAGGGGAGAGGCAACCTGTAGGGGATAACAATAAGAAATATTTCAGGAGACATGAGGAAGCCTGAGGCAAACATGAGGAAGTCTGAGGCAAGCACACAAATACATGCCAATTTTTCTCCCACAGTTAACAAAGAGGAACACTTAAGGCCTGAACTACCTGTATGTCACCAAGCATAGAACAGGAGGATGCTAGATAGAATGTAGAGACAATCAGCCCCTTTCAAGTTGTTGCATTGTTCCTTCTCCCACGGTAACCAATGGAATTTTAGTCATAGGCTTTCAGATAACTGATTTCAGTAGGTTTTGGGTCTAACAGATTACTTGAATTCTGCTATCTAGTTTAATTGCACTTCCAAAACTATCTTTAGACTGAAACATTTGGGGGAACAGCTGCTTCATCCTGAAAAGCTGCCAGCAGATTTTTGGGCGCTCCCCATTGTGGCCTGATCCAAACACAGAATCTGCAGGGAATGCGGACCTGAGTCATCGGGGTCAGGTCTTGGCTTGGTTCTGCGTACATTTAATGGATTAACATAATGTTAGGTTAACCACTTCACACAAATATACGTAGCATAAGCTCTAGAATCACCACAGCACTGCTTGTCTTTTCTTATAGATGTCTTATTCTCCCTTTTCTAAATGTTTTCGATCTCTGTTTGCTGAATAGGTAAAATCTTGTTCCAGCAATTCCACTTATTCTGCTTGAATAGGTGGAGTATATTCCCTGTTTCATGAACAGCTGATTACTTAGCTAAATGACCTTTGTTCTTCCCATCATAAACGTTAGTAATATGGGAGGTTTCTCGCATCAGGGTCTTTGCTGATAGGTCTATATCCAAGTCAAATACAAGTCTAATGGGACACTTAAAATACACTCCTATAAACCCTGTATCCCATATATAAATTCCATTCTTAAGAAAAAAGTGGCTAGTGCTTCAGGCCGTTTACGGCTGGAAGGTTTTTCTGAATTATTTCACTTGATCTTGTAGTTAATTTTTATGTATCACACACTGGAACTCAGTCTTTAACTCTGTCAGTCTCCTTGTGGTCATTTCAAATAAAAATATTTGAAACCTAGGAATAATGATTTTTGAAATCTTGACTCCTTTGTTTATTAGCTCCACAGTGGTTGTTTGCAGATCATAGAGAGCTAAATATTTTATCAAGTTTACCCTGTTTACACTATAGCACTGTGTTCCATGATGCTGATTCCACTGAAATATAATAAAAACAAGCATAGAAACTGCAAAACATCTCCTGAAACCCCTGCTGGGGTTTCTTAGCATGAAACTGTTGAGTGGGTTCCTAGGAAGCATGGTTCTGTTTGACACATATAAAGGTATCAGGTGCCAAATGCTGTAACTGTCAGCTCATAGTGGAAAAGCTTAGGTGATGCACTGTTTTTGCTGGAATGTAATATGTAGTATGTTACTTGAACAAAATGAATTTGTTTCATATGGGGTAGCTTAGGTGAATGAAGGCTAGCATAACACAAGGAAGCAACGCTACAGCTCTTATCACTTTTAATGTGACAAATTATTGAGCAACGGGAAGTCTAGAGAATATCTCACAGAAATAACAAAAAGCCAGTGTGCAACAGAGTTAATGAAAATGATCAGCTACTAAGATCATTGACTAGGAGAGAGCTTTGTATTATCTGTCAGGATAGTGGCTATTGGAGCTTAGAGGAAAGCAAAAAAAAACCCTCCAGAGCTGCTGGAGTTCCATATTTCTTTGGGCTCAACTGAATGAGCATCTTGCATCAGAATGTATTTCTGTAATATTAGAAGGAACAATGTAGCTAATTTGTGTAATAGTAGAAGGAACAATGTAGCTAATTTGTGACTGTCCCCCCCCCCCCTCCCCCAGTATTATGCAAAATCCTATTTAAAGACAGGCTCTTCAACTACTGTTTTGCAGGGACCACATGGAGTGGTCACAAGAAGAAGAAGAGCATGCCAAGGACAAAACAGCAGAGAACTCGCTTGTGAAAGTCCGGTTGGAAGACCAAGGTAACAAATTGCATAATGGCTTAAAAATTACTATTTTAATACCACGTATTAAAACATGTAAAGACGCTTTAAAAATTCAAGAACGTTCCTTTCATTTTTACATTTTCTGTACTAAATCTGTCTTTTGTTTGCTTTCATTTGTTGTCTCAAAGGATTGTCTCAAAGTGCGTTTTGCTCGCAATTCACTTACTTATTGGAGCAATTTTGCCTTTTTCTGGGGCAATAGGTTTTATGTAAAACAGTGAAGTCAGCATGTTGCAACTGCCGGTTCTGTCACTCCTTTTGCGGTGTGCAAAATAAAACTTCCACCACACAGGCTGTTACCTTCACAAAAAGGAGTGAATTCTCAGCCAGCTGGGGTGCTGATGTCTAAAGTTCTCATGTACAATATTCAAATCCTTTGTAATGATTTGTGGACTGTTTAGAAGGCTAGTGTTTCTACATAGCACCATATTTCAGTTAAGTACCATAAAAGTTACGTTACTGGTCCCAGCTGGGTGCCTTGGGCTTCAGGAAGCAGTGTGCTCACTTCATGTGGAAGGTGTTCCCATGCATCCTGCAGAGTCTACCCTATAAATGATTAAGGAATGTCATGCCTGTCTTTAGAGGGAAAGCTTAATGTATTCTACATTTCTGAAGAATGATAGCGTTAGGTTCAAACTGGTAAATTAAACTGCAGACCAAATTTTTTTAATAGTTTTGTATGCCAAAGCAGGAGTACTAAGTTGATTGTAACATAGCAAACTGGATTTTTATTTTGTTCTGTTGTTAGATGGATATTCTGAAAATAATTGTTGTGTGCGCCCTGGGCGTCAGTTTACTAAGTGTGTCTTGAAGCTATCAAATTAGATAGTGTCTTTACGACCCTATCCTCAGTTTAATTGATAAAACTAGGGCACGTGCTGAACTGTATCTGAATTACCTGTGAATGTATCTTTGATTGTGCGCCCTTCATCACTTTGAATGCTCTGGAACTGAGGCCTCTTTTTTTCCCAACGCTTACTTTTTGTGTTTTAGTACAGAGAATAGGCAGTCATTTTTGATGATAGTTGATGGGAATGAGTCTTTGCATACTAAGCTGAAACTGACCCTATTCTGGACCTTCCTGTCATCCTGCCCTTTTCTGTTCTTGCCTCTCTCATCCTTTACCTAAATCCAGGAGGACAATATTTGTTTTTCAAAATTGACCTCTAATATTTTCATTGTTTTTGTATGAAGCAGCTGAAAATGAGCTCATGGTTGAAAAGTACACTGTTTAACCATGTGGCTCATGGAGCCTTTTACTCTTCATCAGCAATCAATTGAAACGTAGTTTGTGCTTGTTAAAAATGAAATAATCAGGTGCTTGTCTATTGCCAAGAAATACAAGAATCCAAAGACATTTCCCATGAATGCCTCTCTGTTTAAAACTTGAAAAGGTGATCCGGTGGTACTTGAAAAGGTGATACCTTGCTGATACGGTTCCTTCACAAAGCTTCAGCTTCATTCTGCAAGTGGAAGAAAATTTTGGTCTATTTGTGTCAACAGTGAACTAAACTTAAGCTAATGAGCAGGTTATTTTGGGGTCTTGGAAATTACTAAAAGGGGGAAAAGAAAAGGCAGATTTCCATAATACTGTGATATCACTAAAACAGAGTAGTTCTGGTGAGCCTCAGTAAAACAGGAGAAGTACAACTAAATGAATTTCTGACACTAGTTTTAAGTATTTGCTATACTTATTAATGTGTCCAGTTCCTTCTCAGACATGGCCACAGGCTGTAGTCTCAAATACATGTCATAACAGATTCTATTAAGAAGAAAAAACAAATGGACCAAGTAAAAGATTGTTTTTGCTTCAGAAGCTTACACTTTCATTAGTTCTGTGATTTTTACATGCTTTAAAAAATTCAGGAGTCAGACAGCTATTTAAAATAAAATGAGAAAAACGCCTCTCTTTCCCAGCAAACCCCATGAGCCAAGAGGATGACTGCTCACTCTGATTTAGGAAACTTTCAGAGATTAAAAAAATAAAGTTAAGAATACAGAGTTGTTGAATTTGGCAAGTAATATTTAATGTTATCTTCTAATGAATTCAGAAAATAACTGTTAGCAGAATCGATGCAATAATTATGGTTTCTGCAACGTCTGTGGGGAAAAAGAATTTATAGGAATACTGCATGAGTGGCTATTACGCAGTGGAGCAGGAGCAGCCAGTAAAAGAGTGGAAAGTACAGTGTCCTTTCACTTGAACCAATTTAATACCATACTGATACAACTAACTAGCTAACTAACTAACTAAGCTAACTTCAGTCATTGCTTTCCTTTATTAAATACATTCTGAAATCTAGAAAACTTGCTGGGAATTTAAATATAAGGGTTCTGAGCAAACCTGTAGAAAAATAATGATTATAACAAGCGGTGGTGATGATTTATGAATCTTCTGAGTGGAAAGTTTGTTTTTATCTTTGAGCTGAGCAACATCTATGACTGTGCAACTTAAAACTATTGAAATCTGGTATATATAATCTGAATTAACTCTGCACTTGCGTTGTAAAACAGCTCTATACAGTTATTCAACATGGCTAGATCTTGTCCTTTAATAATACAATTGGATCTATTAAGTGTTAATTTTAAAAAATTATGCAGATTTTTAGGACAAGGCATTCTGCCATCTCCTTGCCACTTCCCACTGCTTGTCTGTGTCTCTAATATTATTCCCAGCCTTGTTTATCTTTAAAAAGATGTAAAAATTTAGGAAATAGTATGTTAAGATGTAAATGAGCATGGTAGGTGAAATGCACCATATATATACTCTGTACTATATTTACAAAAGTGAATAAACAGGTAATGTGAGTGGGTAGGGACAGAATCAGAAAGATAATACGTTGTATGATATACAGTTAGCAAGAGATGTCAAGGGTAACAAGAAACAATTACGTAATTGCTTTGGGAATGAGGGAAGAACAAGAAAAAGATTTGGTTCGGTACTTAGCAGGAGAGATGGAGAAGGGAAAATCATCAACAAAAGATGCTGAAAAAGCTGAATTTCTTATCTTTTTATCAGGCTTCCTTTGAAAGGATTAGCTGCAGTCTAGTGGCTAGCACAATTAGTACTAGTAAGAAGACTACTTGTTCTAGTACTGAGAAGGAACAGGTTACAAAGTACATCCACAGAGTATATGGATGACCAGAAAAGCAAGAAACAGACTACTCACCTTTTTTTTTAAAAAAGGGAGCGGACAGAGAAGAGTCGAGAATTTACAGTTTTAATTCCTGGAAAAGGACTGGAAGAGATAATCAAGTGCTTGCAGACACTGGGTTTAGAAGAACAAAGGAGACGGATACTGGGCAACAAATATTTTTCAAGAATAGGTGCTATAAAATCAGGCTAATTTCTTTCTTGGAGAAGGTTGTGAGCCCTGGAAATAAGGAAAAAACAGATGTCCGTAATTAGGCTTTCAACTCTGTTTTACGTGACATCTCATAAGCAAGTTAGACAAGAAGGATCTAACAAAACTACTTCTAGGTGAATGAATGCTTAGAGATTTCCTTTCAGAATGGAAGGTTGTACTAGGCAGAGCACCATTTTGTTCTGCATCCAGTACTGCTTGGTATTTTCATTAGTGATTTCAAGAATGGGAAACTTGAAGATGATAACAAGTGAGGAGGTGTTTCAAGTACAGTGAAAGAAGATTAGAATTGAGAAAGATCTTGACAAATTGGAGTAATGTTCTGAAAGAAATGGAGTTAAATTTGCTGAAGATAAGTGGAAAATACTTAAGAATAATCTGAAAAAATACTAGATTCTGGAACAATTTGTTAGGTAGTGATTTTGCAGAAGATCTGAGGGTTGTGGTGAATCACCAGCTGAATCAGCAGTGTCATGCTGTTGCAAAATGTCAAGCCGAGATGCATAAACAGGATTACAGCCTGTAAGACTCGTAAAATGTTCCTTTTGCTCTGTATTGGTAATGCCTTTTCATGGAGTACAGCGCCAAGGAGAAGTCGATCAGTTAGAGAGAGTTTGGAAAAGAAAAAATGAAAATAATCAGAGGTCTAGAAATTATGACTTCTGTGGAAAAAAAGGTTTAGAAAATCTAGAAAAGAGATTGTTTGGGGGAGACATAGTAAAAGACTTCAAATAGCTGTTGCAAAGAAAAGGGATTAATCTGTTCTCCGCTTTGTTAATGGGACAAGAATTACTGGAATTGAATTGCAATAAAAAAGTTTCAGGTTGGGTAGTGGAAAAAGTGTCTAACTGTATAGATGTTGAAGGACTGGAGTACATTACTGAAGGAAGTTGTCCAGTCTCCATCATTGGAGGTGTTTAAGAGCAGGTTGAACAAACTTCTTTGCGAAAGGAATGTGAATTGCCTGAGTTGATCAAGTCCTTCCCAGTGCTGTTCTTTGATTCCATAGCAATATGTTTTATGAATTAAAAGTTACACAAAGGTCGATCATAAAACTTTTTGAAGTGTTTTCAAAGGAAGAAAGCCATTCTGTTACTCCTGATTGTGTAGTTGTTTTCTTTCAAAACTGCATTATTGAGTGGGTATGAATGAATTTTTTTCTGTTGGTTATGCAATAGCATTGATCAGTTCACAGAACTGGGTTTCTAATTGATGTTTTCTGGAGAGGTGACTGTCGTTGCCAATAAATTTTCAGTTGTTCAGAGTTTCCTAAATCGTGGCGTTAATTTCGATTCAGTATTTCTTAAATAGGAAAAAACATGGAAAATATTTAATTGAAAAGATGCATTGGTTTTGTAATTTAGGATGTGAAAAATTGTCCATGAAGCTCATGATTGCATATTTTAGTGATGCTGCCCTATTATGTCACTGTATAAAAATAAAATTGGTGATGCAGAGAGTCTCTCTGTCCCATCCTAAGTGAGATAAAATCTAACTAAAGTCTTGGAACACGGATTAAGATGAGAGCCAGAATCTGTGTATTTTTATTTAAAGATGCACAATATGGGTAGCGCATTTCTTAAACTGTAGATTTAGGGTCCTAGTTCTGTGTTATTTTACATTATTATGCAGTTAAGCTCATATTCACCCAGTTTTTGTTTTGTTTTTTTTTTAATTTCAGATAAATATGAGAGAGAAGCCAGTAAATATTGGAATGAATTTTATAAGACTCATAAAAATAACTTTTTCAAGGATCGCAATTGGCTGTTTCTGGAGTTCCCAGAAATTCTTCCAGAAAAAAAGAGAGAAGAGTTGAAAGCAGAGGAAAAATCTTCAGAACCCACAAAAATAAATAGTACCAGCAGTTTTCCTCGCCAGGATTTTCCTGGAATGTTTGAGGAAGGAAAAGAATACTGGGAGAAAAATTATGGGGAAGACTCTACTTCTGTACAAGGACATACATACAACAAAAACCAAGCAAGATCTCTTACTGACAATCCTCATGGTAAAAACTGTAGAGAACAACTGAGCAATCTAGAATCCTTCCCTGGTGGTGGTGCTACTTACAGGATATTAGAGGTAATGCACTGCAAGCATTCCACCTATGACTTACAACTCCATGTAATTGCTCAAAAGTATGGATAAAGATGCTTAATAGCTGTCAAGAAAGTAAACATTCAGAACTTAAAGTACTGCATTCACTTATGGCAATACCTTTCAGAAGAAGCTAGGATCTGGGCTTTGTTTCCTCTTGAAAGTTTCTCCCAAATTAGAATCTGGGGCTAGATGGCCAAATTCCATTGACAGTCACTCGAAATTGGTTTCCAATTTCCTCAATAAAATTCTCTCTTAAAATGGTTTGTTCTCCATAGTCAACACATTCTTGCCAAATGGTGAAATTGCACGAGAGTCTTGCTTCTTCCTATGCAGTTGTTTGAGGGTTGTATTCTTTCTTAGCATTGAGAAGATATTGAGGAGAAACCTGGTCATAGGAGAAGTGATATGAGAGCTTTTGTGTAAGCAATTAATTCATTTTCTGTCCAACATATCTTCAAGTCTTATGGGTCCTGCCTACTAACTAATTTAAGACAAAAATCCTAAGGTATGAGGTTTTATTTGCTTATTTATTTTAACTTTTTGCTTCTATCTTGATTCTAGGTTGGTTGTGGTGCTGGAAATAGTGTCTTTCCTATTTTGAAAGTTCTATGGTATGTAGTGCCAGATTTTCAAATACAAAAGTTGTATTCTCGTCTTCTGTGTTTTCTTCAAATGTTGGTGCTAGACCAGTGCTGCAAGAAGTGTTGACTGGACTTGTTTAGAGCCCTGAATTTCTGATTGCTTCCATACCGCAAAAAACGTGGGTAGTGCCGTTACAGTATATGCCTTACGCTCTTCAGCCCTGGTCTTGAGGGGACCCTATGTGCTGACAAGGAGGTAGGTTTGTTTTCAGATGCATTCAGACTAACTTTTTGTAGTTAGTTTCAGGCAGGTTGAATATCCTTGTCCCTTGTCTCATATGTCTCCATGCAGCTACCAGATGTTATCTCTTCAAAGAACCAAAATCAAAGGCAGCAAATAATGGCATGTGATCTACTGGCAAGAAGTTGTATTCCAAATTTGGCTACTACACTTTGTCCTATTGCTTCAGGTTTTAGTGCCAAGGAAAGCACAAGTCCTGTATTGCATTACTTAATTCCTTGAGACACCTAATCCACTTAGCTTCTGTTTTTAGAAAAAGGTGTTATGACAGCGTATCCTCCCTGGTAGGCAGGAAGGTTTTATTGGAAAGGTTATGTATGTGTCAAGGGAGGTTGGACTAGATTTCTGTATGTACATGCCTCCAAGAGATTGTGTACGCGCAGTTCTCGCTATTCTGTAAACTAATTCTGATTGCTAGCATCGCCACTATGTGAAAGTACTCCATTTTGTGGATACGGAAGCAGAGACCAGGAGGATTCAAGCGGTGTGCCAGGGTCAGACGTGAAACCTGTTACAGTGTTAGTAATGCATCTTTATCCCAAAACAGATGCTTTGCTTCAGACACATATAAGGGAAGGGGAGCCCTGTGTCACATGACGAGTTTGAGAAGTGACACTACATAGGGGAAAGATCTTAAGTATCTCTGTTGAAAAAGATGAGACAGACTTTTGTGTTTTCGTCACGGGAGGCATTAGTCACAGGTTAGCATTTTTTATGATTAGGAATCCATTCGTTTGATATTTTTCCTTGAGATCTGTATTCTTATGCAAATCTTTCAGATGATAGATCAGTGCATTGAAGAGCTCGCACATTTGTCTTATGTATGAGCTGATGGAAGCATCTCTTACCTCTTAAATGGCTTTATAGCACCATTGTTTCTACTCTGTATTTAATAACATAAAAGTTGCCTTTAGTATGCACACAAGAAGCTGGAGTCAAGTATGGTTACATTGTGGCTACAAAGAAATTCTGCCTAGGTTTGTAACATAACTTTAAAACTGCCTCCTTCCACCCCCCTCCCCCCCATAAAAATTAAGTCACTGCTTTTTAACACAAAGCATCATGAAATAACCATCCGGATCAAGCTATGTCTTTATTTTAAATTGGCCTTCCACAGAGCTTTTATTCTGCTTTAAACAAAAAAAAAAAAGAAAAGAAAAAAAGAACCTACACCCTAGCAAGTCAGCTAGGGTTAGTAGCTTGACCTTTCCCAAGCAACAGACTGGCTCCAAAGCCTAGCTGCTTGTCCTCATCCATGACAAAGATCTAAGCTCACAGACCCTCATGGCGGTCACAGACCTAATTAAATTTTTGTTCAGCCCTAAGGATGGGAATATATTTTGGTCCACAACCTGATGAACCCTCAGAGACAGGTCACTTACTCACCTGTGTATACTGTGAGATCTTACAGGCATTGCTGTATTTCTCCAGTTTCCTTTCTAAAGGAACCCTGTATCCAAAATCTCCAATATTTTAGAGGAGAGTAACTGATCAGGAGTTGATCATGAGATTGTCCCTCAGTTGGGTGTTGAGGGCTTTGCTCACTTTCTTTTAGATGGGTTTTCAGGAGGTGAGAAAGACTTCTCCACAGGGTTATTAGTGTCTGATGCGCAGCGCAAGGAAATTTGCAGCTGGCTTAGTCATGAATGGGAGGAAGAGAAGACAGTGCTACAGGAAACTTCTATTCATCTTGGTTATAAAACAGAGAGGATAGTGGAGGGAAACAACCAATACTGCCTAATCTAATCGAAAGCACAGTAGGTGGCACTTGGGAACCCAAACCTCTTCAGAACCGTGCATGACTTTTGCGGCCCTGGAAAAAAAAAAAAAAAAGTATTGCTAATTAGCCTGCTTACATGGGCTAGTGATAGAGACTTAGTGCAATGCTTCTGTAAGAAAATGTGACCTATTTATGTGTATTTATGTAATACAGCACTAGGACGTTGCCATCAATCCTGACAGCCCTCTGTGACCGTCTTTCTTTTCCTTTCCACTTCCTCCCTGACAAGGCTATAATTCTTCTTTTTATACTAACTGCCTGTTGGTATTCTTGTGAATCTGTCTGCCCTATTGGTTCATTACAACCTATGTGGCTTTCCATGTGCTAGACATCAATAAGGCATGCTTGATCAAACCTGCAGAGAACCCCAAAGGGCCGTGTGTGGTTCCAAGACCAGTGATGTAGACTTTCATCTTTTGCAATAATAATTCTTTAAATGATGTTGGTTTTGTTTTCCTAGCAATACACCTGGTACCTTTCTATACTGTTGTGATTTTGCTTCAGGAGCGGTGGAGCTGGTAAAGGTAATTCATATGCTTACTTCAGAGTACCTTATAAGCCTGTAATTCAGGAGGCTGCCAGGAAGCCATCTTCATGAAAAAGAACACGAATGGCTTTGACAGCTTTTAACTGAAGTTTTCAATATTCCAAAGAACAAAGTCTTACTCTGTACAAGAGAGGAATGAATACCATCAGTGAGCTTGCTTCTCAGCTTGAGCAAGAGACCAGACAGAATAGGCTTTTATATGAAATGTTTTACAATACTGAATAATTGAAGAAAAAAAGTTTCTTGAGTCATAGTAAACGTATTAACTACTACTATTCTCTCTGTGCCTCTTTTCATCTTTTTCCTGACAGTCACATTCGTCCTACAATTCAGCCTGGTGTTTTGCCTTTGTTCACGATGTGTGTGATGATGCTTTACCCTATCCTTTTCCTGATGAGATCCTGGATGTCATTCTCCTTGTCTTTGTGCTCTCTGCTATTCATCCTGACAGGTAAATGAAGACTAAAGGGCAAAGCAAATGGGTTAAATCTCTTTTATCACTAGGGGTTTTCAAGAATATCAAAGGAAGATGATGAATCTTTAATTTATTATTTAGTAAGCTATGATATATATAAAACAAGGTATTTTAAATGCTGTTTCACAGTTTTAGGCTGAGAGAGAGAAACTGGTCAGACTACTTCATTAGTGTCCATCAAAATAAAATGAGTATGTTCTAACAAAATACGTCTCTATTAAAACTGACAGTGCTTCAAGAAAATTACAAATTCAGAAACAGTCTGCTAGTCTTTCAAAAGGAAATTATTCTTCATGATCAAAAGCAAACATTCTTGATTTAACATCTTACAATATATTGATGAAAGATTTAGGTTTCTGATTCAGCCACACACAAATGCATACAGGCTGGCCTCTTAAACCAAAACACATTCAGAATGGTGTAGCTTGTTTGGGTTAGGAGAACTAAATATAATTTTCATGCGTGGTATTTTGTTGAGAGCTATTAGCCTTATTACGAATGCCTCTCAATGTCTAATGAACCAAACTTCATGGCTGTTAAAACTGGCTAATTTTGAAAATACACTTTCTAATGGGAAAAGTGCAAAAGAGTGCATGCAAGTTAAACTACTTGACTTTTCCTTTAGCTAGACCATACAAAGGGAAGTGCACGCCCTGTGTGTGATAGGGCATTTATTGCTTTAAGAATGTCATTAAAATGGGCTTGGCAAACAGAACAATATTTGCCTAAATCGGAGGCCTGTTTCCCTCCCTGCCTGCCTGCCTAAGTTATTAATGATTAGCTTTACAGAAAAATCTTTCCCATATAGGATATTGCTCCTTCCTGTTTGTTCAGAGATGAGCATATGAGTCATGCAATGCCTGGGTCCAGATTTCAAAAACAATTCAAGCAGTAGATTTCAGATCTTTGTAACTGCAGTGATGCAGCCAGGAGAAAATTGGACAATAGAGACCCATTCATTCAATCACTTTGCCTGTAGAAGCAGTAATCAGATGTTCTGTCAGAACTTCTGTGGCTCTTTTTCTGTTAATCATTTGAGAATAAATGTATTTGTCTGTCTTTCTCCCTATGTTAGCAGCCAGAGGCTGACATGGATATTTTTTGCAAGTATGCATGCATGTATGTATGTAAAGATACCCGTATAACTATCTGCGTGATAAACTGCAGTTTCTAAAGGTTTGTGAGTCATTGCACTCATCTTCTAGAATTAAAACGACTCTATAAAAGACAAATATAATCCAGCCCCTTGTTGCTCAGTATACAAATATTAAAATTTTGAAATGAGGAAGATTGGAAAAGAAAACCAAGAGAGTGGTGGTGCAGAACTTCAAATATATGTACTTAGGAGACCTGAAAAACATGTGTGAGAGATGCACAGTTCTATTCAGCACTACTGTTACCTAGTGATTTCTCTTTGGGCTCTATTTTTGACAGTTACTACTCTTGTATCTAAAAAGTAACACACTTGTCTTCTGCTAGCAGTCCCCTCTTAAAGCTGGTCTCAAAATTTGAAAGATATTAAGCTTTCCTCATGCTATATGATTAATGTGGTCTAGTCCTAAAAGATGAGATTTCTCACAGCACTCTCACTTTTTAGGCAGGTACATTTTTCTGTGCACAAAACTTAGGTTTATGTAGGCAAAGTGTGTAGTTCTGAACGTAACTACCTTTCTTGAGCAGTCCCTTATTCTTATGTGGGCTACCTTTTTCTATTTCGTTGCCAATGTCGTGCATGAAAAATGAGAACTTTTAAGACACTTGGTTTCTTCTGAGGAAATCCCATGCTCAAAAGGTGTATGCTCTGTTTTTTTTTTTTTTAGATATGTTATTATTTTCTGCTGAATTATCCTCTAATTCAGCCCCCTAAAAGTCAAGATAGGATGTCTACACTGCTGTTACATGAAGACCAAATTGTGTTAGTGTTTGAGCTCTGAAATGTTTCTGGAAAGGGAGAAAGCGGACCAATGTGCAGGAGCAGTGTAAGGATGTTCTCTTGTTACGCAGTAATGGTATGCTGGGCTTGCACATTTGAGGAGGATTTTGTTTTCTCTAGTTCTTTTCAGATACAGCACCGTGCCTTTCCTATCCATTAAATTACCCTTCCTCTGGTTCCATAGCTCCCTCACTGCCAATCTACTTCTCTGAGGGAGGAAGGGTTGAATTAGGCTTGGGAGCTCTTCTACTTTGCTGCCTGCCAGGTGCATGTGGCCTTTTGTGGTCTTTTGTGAACGTGCAGAACCTGAGTCCTGTATGTTTTTTTGAAAGAGTCGAGCATTATTGATTAGTAAGGTGCTTTGCAGAATAATGCAAATGTATTTGTGAGAAGCTCCAAGGCAAGCTAAATAGAAGGAAGAGAAGGAAGATACTCTGATCTAGGAAAGAGTACGGAGTATGATACTTATTCCTAGAATACATACGGCTGGCTGGTGTGGTCTTGATAAGGAAGAGATGATGTTACATATGGCCAAGATGCATGAAAGTTTCAGCATTTTGGAGGTTGTAGACTTTCCTCCCCTAACTGCTAATATCTCCAGATGAAATTTTACCAGATTCCCTTCTTCAGGACTCCTCTTTCCATTCTCCACAGTTAGGTATTCAGGTGCTGACTCTGTGTGTGATAATTACCTCCGTAAAGAACTTAGATTTATCTGCCTTCCAAGCCCTTGATTTTGCTGTGTACAGAGAGAGGGCTCAACCTAGCTCACCAGTGAACATAGCTAACGTTTCATTCATTGTTTGTCATATATCTGCCTGGCTCATATGACCCATATACTCAAAAACTATGTTTTAATCCATCCTTGAGATTCTGTTTAAAGGAAGGAAAAGGACTCCTCCTTTTTTCTTTCCAGTTTATAGTCTGTAAAACAGTTCCTTACAAATTTTTGCCGTAGGCTTTATTTGTAAAGAGTTCTTCCTGTTTGCTAGTGTATGGCCTTTCCATAGTAAATATAGACACATCTTCTCACTTTAGTTTCAGAAATCTATATATATTCCAAGCATCTAGAGAAAAAAAAAAAACCCAAACCGTTTTATTTGGAAATTTCACCAGTATTCCATCTATTTTCTAAGGATGCAAAAGGTTGTAAATAGATTGGCTAAACTACTGAAACCTGGAGGAATGTTGTTATTTCGAGACTATGGAAGATATGATACAGCTCAACTTCGTTTTAAAAAAGGTAGCTACTGAGTATTTTTGTATTTTACTGTTTATTTTAAACTCTCTTTGAAAACAATGACATGATTTTTTACTGTTTTAATTTCCTAGGTCATTGTTTGTCCGAAAACTTTTATGTACGAGGAGATGGAACCAGAGTTTATTTCTTTACCAAAGGTATGGAATGGTTTAGTTTTATAGGAAGTGGTGAGTGTCTCAACAAAAGCTCATCTTCAAGCAGAATTTTAAAGTCTTTTTTTTTTTTTTTTTCATTCTCTGCTTTTAAAAAGCCCAAAGCTAGCTTTTGTGAAAAAATAGTTCCCTTCTCAGACAACAGATTTTTTTGACCTGACTATGTTGTTACAGAAGCTGGAGCTTATAAATAAATTATTTTTATTTAGCTGCTTTCTGTCTCTTTCTCTGGCAAGACACATTTTCTTTATAGCAAAGTCATTGCATCAGATCTGTGAGCTTAGAAAATTACAGTAGCAGAGCCACAAAGAGGGCACAAAATCTGACCAGTAAAATATGTGTAGTGTGGTGGTTGACTTCTCCTTCTAAATTCTCAGATAGAGAGAATCATTTGAATGAATGAAAAAATGAATAAATCATTTTTTGCAATCTGTATGTGATTCCCCACCCCACCTCCCACCCCCCGCAGTAAGCAACACCAAATCTGAATTAGTTTTAAATAATTTGGACTGGATTTTGGTTATCCTCAGGTTCACCAGGTGCGGTTGTCTTGCATGTTGCCATCTCCTGATTAAGATGGCCATGAGATCCAAATTGAACCTATAAAAAGCTTCTTGTTAATAACTTTCTCTTAGCTGTTGTTAATGACACAGTCCAGGAAAAGCTTTGCCTCTTCTTATTTGATCCAGAGATCTACGAGATTGCTTGCAGCACTGGAATTTCTCTTTTTTTATGCATCCTGTATCTAGTGAGATTCTCAAATACTATAATTTAAAGATATACCTGATGTATTCTTAAATTTCAGATAAACGTGCCTGGAAAGATAATGGGCAGCCATGCAGGCTCTGATATTTTGTTCTGCCGTTTTAGTGAGTCCTGGCTATATGGCTGTTCTTTCTCCAGGAGCTAAACTGAAATTCTTGACTATGGATGACTATTGCCCTTTTCTCTTCCTGGTTCTGTGGGCAGTCAACTTAGTCTGACACACTACGGCCCAACAGCTGAAAATTGTAAAAGTGAGCGTTACACTACTTTTCTTCTCCACAGCCTAGACTGTAAACAATAGAGGTGGATCAGGATTTCTCCTAGCTGGGGTAATTTTTGAGGTGAGAAAGACGATCTAGGATATATTTGGGAAATCGCTTGAATTCCAAGAGCCTTCTCAGTTTTTGAAATTTTATTTTGTGCTGACTCATGAAAAAGAAGCTTAAAAAAAGTTATTCAGTTGTGACTGTCAAGGAGATAATGATTGTCATGGATGTGTGGATTGGCAGATGAAATAGCTTTAAATCAATATTATGGAAACAGTGACCAAGTAGTGCATATTTGTTTTCCTCAGCTCTAGCATATCTGATTCCTCTAAGAAAGGGGATCTGTGAATGCCATAAATAGTAACCTATGTGCTTTGGGTCTCAGCATGACATTTCTTCTGTAATATAAATTGAAAACTATGAAAATGGATTTCTTAACAGAAGACTTCTTACAGGCAGTTTCCTTGATCTTTCAAATAACAAAACAGAATTAGTTCCATCTTTGAATGAACTGCAATTTTTAAATTACTACATTCTACAAATGTATTTTTTTAATTATATTAATTCTTCATTTGAGAAAACAGATGAGGTATGGCACGTGTTCACCTTGGCTGGATTAACTGAAGTACAGAATTTAGTTGATCGGCGATTGCAAGTCAACAGGAAGAAAAAAGTCAAAATGCAGCGAGTCTGGATACAGAGCAAGTTCCAAAAACCGTTGCTGCTATCTCTGAGTAATCCCGAAGAAACTACCAAAAGGCACCCTTATGGCTAAATAAGCCATAAACTCCAGAAACTGAAGGAAATTTGAGTACGTATATTCCCTATAAATCTTGTATTAGCCACTGAAAAGGAGAAAAATATTGAACTGAGACTCTTCCTTGATGTTTTGTAAATGTACATATTTGTAAATGATCTGGAAAAAAATGCATCTCTAACTTCTGCTTTATATATAGTAAAGGGATATCTATTCATAACTGACCTTGAATTATTTTACTTCCTTGTATGGGAATAGTCAATAAATACCAACTTGTATCCAATTCCTGTTGAAATTCACGGTATGTTAAAAAGTATTAGACTGAAGCAGAATTGTTTCAGAGGTTTAGAGAATCAGAATATTTGTTCTCACTGTCACTACAAGGCCTGCTGTCTTAATTTCTGAGTAATGTCTCCTTTAACCACTGTGTCTTGCAACTATGTTTCCTCTTTTGGAGGAAATTTCTTGGTGCACAAACAATGAATCGTTACCCTGAGCCTTCTTCAGAAGGAAGGTTCTGACAACATCTCTTTCTGATTTACGTTGAAGTTGTTATTTCATACTAACTGCGTGCGGTATATATGTGGTTCATAGGTGTCAGGTTAGTCAGTGATTGCCATCCTCCAGTGTGTCTGGCTTATTTCTCTGAAGTCTTCACTTTCCATCTACATGCTCATAACAAACATCCTAAACTCAGCTGTGTGTAACAGCTAACACATACATCACGTTTGAAGTGCCCTAAGATGCTGCCAGCTGGACATCATCTAGGAAAGGATTACCAAAATGCCAAAACAGTGCCTAAACCAAATATTCACCATTTGCCTGGATAAGTAGAAATACTATTTTTATAATACATATCAGAGACACTAGAGGGAAGATCAAAAAGGGTAATCCAGTGTACTTATTAGTATTGTTATGGGATAGTGCAATCAACGCTAAAATGGCTGTATACATGAGAGCTGAGATATTTTTGGTGTTTACAGAGAGAGGTGAGTTTCTTAGGGCTTGAGTTTTAGAAACAAGACACCATGATCTTCTGTTGATGCTATGGAGAGACGATAAAAAGGCAAAAATACACTAATATTTCAGATGCTTTTAAGGAGAAAACCAAAATGCAAACACTGTTTTCAGAGGTAGACCATGATGCTGAGACATTTGAACTGGTATTAAAACATGCCATATCTGCTTATTTAAATGTAGTTTTTACAATCACTTAACCACAAGGAAGAGAGGACAAGAATCAGGAGTCTGCATTACTTTAACAAGGGTATAGAATACATACAATTGAGAACATGCAGTTTTGAGTGTCATTAATATAGTGATGCTATCAACATCTCTTTCCTTTTTAATCTGAAGGGTAAGCACATCACAACTCACAACCCATTTTTTTGCCAGTTGTTAGCTGCTAAGCTAACGGGTTGTCTTCTAGAAAGAAAAAAATCTATATTTGACTGCCTAAGTATCTTCATCATATTTGACAGTATGCTTATTTTCCATAAAATCAAATACCCTTTCAAGAGTTCAGGTGCAATAAGGGGTCTTTGAAGGTAGGATCTGATCCTGTGTTTCTTGTATATTCTAAGCTTCCACTAGAGTAAGATGCTGTTTTGTTTAAATGGCTTAGGAAGCTTTGTGGTATAAATCAGATTAAAGCTGAAAAACATCACGGCGTTTCTTCAGACTCAAAGTTTTAGGATACTGCAGAGTCTGCATGGGAAATATAAATAAATATATGCTTATATTTTAAGGAAGTTGTTACCCTATGCTATTAAGTGTGCTTTTTGGTATGCATAGCCCTGAGTCTAATACAAAGCATTTTCAGTTGTGTAATTTTGCCAGGGGTTGATAGTGGTGATAAGCTCTGGAGTATCGTAAAATCTTACTCATGTGTGTGATGTAGATTTTCCATAATAAAATAAAATTCTATTTACTTGGACTCGCACACTGATATGTTGGTTCTGGCGGGATTTTAATATGCTATGTTAATTAAACAGAAATGTGACCTCAGAAGAAACCAAACCCTGACTTCTCTTATGGCCTTGAGCAAAATTGGCTCTCTCTGTTCCACACCTTATAGCCTATGTATTGCCTCAATAGTGCCTGTTTTAAAAGTAGTAAGATCAGCTACTATTTGTAGGGCTGTAGAATATCCACTGTAAGGTGAATTGTAACTAGTCTGAACCGTTGTAATGTTGATAAAAGGGGAAACAGAAGAAGACGCATTTTTTTTCCCAGTAAGAACTTGAAACTGGACAGGACTTTGTCTTTTTAGCTTTGTGAAACTTCATTTTTCAAAAAGCTTACTCAAGGGTATGTTTTTTAAAAAATATTTTTAAATAATGTGTGCTACTTGGGAAAACCAATGCTATAATATTGCCAAAAGAAAGGCCAGCAGAATTATCGAAATAAGAGAAGGAAACGCACTTCAGACAGTTATATTGGGAATGAAGTTTTTAAAATGGCTTATTGATTATTTATTTATGTGAAAAGAAATAGTGTTACAAACAAAATGTGCTTAGTTTAGAAAAAGGATTCAAGTTTTACATTTAAAATCTGAAATTACTTTTGTATTGGGTATGTGTGCCTGGGCTCTTGAATGGAAGCAAACAGGTTTTTTTTTTCAGCATGACTTCCTGTGCTAGTAAAGCAGACTTGCGATTAAAAATACCATCTGCAGAAGAGTAATAATGTTAGAACTGAGCTTTGTCTTCATTGACTTTGGCTTGTTTTTATCAATAGTGTTTACTTCTTGCCCATGTCCACACATGTTGCATTACATTCATGTATAGGGGTACCTGAGAATGGTCTTACTGGTTCAGACCAAGGATTCATCTGTCTCATGGAGATATTTACTGTAAAACTGTCTTTTGTACACAGTTAACAAAGTGACCAACCTTCTTTCTTATATTAATTCTGAAGTATCTAGTCAATAATAACTCATATAAAAATGTTTTTTCTAGCAAAACCACGCCAAGTGCTTGTGAAATACCTGCAAATCTGTTGACTCTCAAGAGGACAAACAAAATGTGGGGCAAACGGGTAGAAAGCAGGAACTCAAGTGACACAACGGAAAAGTTTTCTGTTGTCTTAGGAGCTGCTGCATTTGTATTTTGTCTTTTGAATCTGACTTGGCTAATCAGCAGATTCTCCTATTTAATAAGAAATAAAACATGGAAGAAAACATCCTGAAATTTGTGTTAAGCACAAATAGAAATCACTCAACATAGATTTTACTGCTTTATTTTGATTTGTATTGTGATCTTTATTCACTGCTGTGGTTCACTCTGTGATATGCTCAGATATCTCTTATTTCCCTCTGTTCCTATGCATAATGGACAATTAAGCAGTTTCCACTGTATACACAAACATTTGCAGTAAAGATTGCTGGTTAGGTAGGTTATTTGTAGGATGGAAGCAAGGCAGTTTTATTTCTTCAGTATAGAACAGATTGCTTTTTCTTTCTGTGTGAATGCAATGAATTGTATAGATGCTCAATCAATATAGTGATATTGGCCATTTTTTATTATTTTAAACCCAATATACATTAAAGTATGGTATGTGTAAAAGCTGTGATAATAATAGACATTTCCTATATCAGCCGTTCTTTTTTTTTAAGACACCTTCATAATGGGTGGTTAAACAGCCTTGGAAAGAAACCATATATGCACATTATATAAATATTAGATATTTTAATTGTTAGTCAGGTCACTGGTTTTAAATAACATTTCTCTATTTGGAACAAAGATTAGATATTTGATTGTTTGGACAGACTGGCAGAGCAAAGAGAATGGGATACAGAACTGAACAGGGAAATTAGGAAGACGACGCTATGGGCAACATAGGGAGGAGATGTGTAAAGGGGGACAGTGTGACGGTGAGGACGCTGGGCCTAGGAACCAGTGAAATGGAACGAAGGCGGTGAGAGGAAAAGGGGGACTGATCTGTCAGAAAAATAGGGTGAAACCTGGGCAAAACAAATTGAGGTAAGGATTTGAGATGGAAAGACCCATTTTCAAGGGCTGTTTCTCCCAAATGTTACTGGACTTCATATCTTAGTGGAATATTACAGGTTTTACTTTCATTGATATGTGCACAGTGTATTTCAATTTATTACCAAGATGGAATGTTTCATTTGTTGTAGTTTATGTGTGCTATGCACGTGTGTTTGCAACAGTGCAGGTAGGTTTATGATACACCTGCTTTTGCTTTTTCCTTAGGGAAAAATGTTTTTACCTGCTTTCAAGCAGAACTCTAAAGTGACAGCAGCTACAATCCTAACTTCTTGGGAAGCAAATAGAGAGAAAAAAAAAAAAAAAAGAAGTCATCTCTGCTCTCTGGTTGTATGCAGGCAAGGTAGGACAATTAAATTTACTCCGTATGTTCTGATGTCCCATTTAAATCCAGACCATATCTGCAGATTATCACCTTGAAGCGCCTTCCAGTCTCAGTTTGTTATGCTTGCATCTGTTCTACAGAATTTAAATGAATTTGTATAAACTAGAAATACAGCTTACAAGGAAAACACAGCTGATCAGTAGTCTTTAGGCTTTATCTGGGACTAGACAACTTAAAGCAGGTATCTCTTTAATACTTTTATTATTTTAAAACAACAGACAACCTCAAAATCTCAGAGTTACAGAGGAGCACTCATCCAAAGGCCTGAAAATTTAGGTGGTTCTTCAAGGTATAATATATTACATCAACAATATTAAACCTAATATTTCTATGACAAAGCTTTGTACACCACGTTAGCCAAAAGAACCTTGCCTGTTGCCACTGTGAAGAAGCAGTGAGCAACAAGATGGACGCACTTTCAGATGATGTCATATTAAGCAGGTTATTACAAATTTGAAGGGAATCTGAAAGATCCACAAAAGCAAGTGAATTAGTTTAATAGCCGCTACAACCAACTGCTCACAAGTTAATAAATATTCAAAGAAAATATGAGTATTCATACGTATTGACACTAAATCAATTTTTGACTTAAATAAAAACACAAAATTGGTGTATGCTGCCAGTTATAAAAACAACCTCAATGTTAAAAGGTATAAATACAAAGTTTAAAAAATGAGAATCCTATATAGCTACTGCATAAATCCAGTGTATAATCTCTATAGTGGTTCCCATTCATCTAGATAAAGATGTAGTAGAAATACATGGTGAAAGTTCCTAGAAACAAGGAAAAAAACTTTGTATGAAGGCAGGTTAGGAAAATGAATGATAGACAATGTGATAATGGTATATAGCAGTACGTATTAGTATTTAGAAGGTCCACTTTATCCCTTTATGCAATAGTTGGCAGGCAACAAATTTACATTGATAAAAGTAATATTTAATGTATACACTATAAATAATCCAAGGAATCACAATATTCATGAGGCTAAAAGATTGATGAGTTATTAAAAAGGGGTTATGTGAGGTTTGACATTTTTATATGTGTATGTGTGAGAGGGAAATCTGCATATTTACTGTGTAAGACTTTAAAACGCCTTTCTCCAATAAACAAAAGGACTGCAACCTTTCTCCAGTTTTTCTGAGGTTCTAACATTGCTCGGTAGCAGAGATGGAGAATAAAGCTGAATACCAAATTGGTCGGGCGGGCAAATTTTACTGAATTAAGGTAGAAATAGGAGAAAAAAAATTAAAGAAGGAGCGTACTAATTAGTGTGACAACATGTAACAATCTGTAACAATCATACAGAAGTTAGTATTTCATAGAGAATGACAAATTCAGTGCAATGCCTGACAGAGAGGGAAAGACATCAGTCTTAGCACACTTCCCTGTCACTTATCACAATATCACTGTAAATAGGCATTTGGACTAGCTAAAAGCTAAGGAATAAAAAGAATTGATTTGCTAAAAGAACACACAATTGATGAATTATGCTTAGGTCAGGCTGGCTGTATTGGAGGGCTCTGTTGCAGAGCCAACATTCATTTTCTCTTTCTTTAGTGTCAGGCACGCTCTGGCCTCCATTTCCTCCCAAATAACAAGTGCTCTTTAAATGGAGGAGCTGCATCTTTGAACTTGAATAAAAGGGTGGTTGTGCAGTGCAGGATTTAGCAGATGGACTTAGGGAATCTGAACCTACTACTAGTCTTTTATGCAACACTAGGAAAAGCGTAGTCACTTTTAATGACTCTGTTTGCTACATACTCTATTAAGCACAGTAGTCAGATGTCATTCTGAGGAATCGGGCAGCTTAGTTTCCAGTGACATTGATTACACTCGCCAGTGAGAGGATGAGAAAGAATGGTGGGTGGAGAAGTGAAAATACAGTGTGAGGCATTTCCAGGAGGAGGTTTGCGTTCCAGCACTTGCATGTGGGTGACGATCCCTCCGCGAAACAATTTTTACTCTAAAGTGGAGCTGGGCTAAATCTTCTACCTTCACTTCAGGTTTAATCTCCATCCCTACAAACTGCCGATGCAGCCTTTAGTTAAGCAAGTATTTACTTAACATGAAGAGAAAATAACAGTAGCTAGACTGCATCTTTAACTGTGATTTCACAGAGAGAGACCCTGGCATATTAATCCCTGGCCTAAACGGGTGTGATTCTCAAAGATACCAATGCAAAGCCTGTTTACACAGGGGCTGAGCTAAGCCCAAAGGTGATACACGATGCAGTTCAAAATCGATCATTTAATCCTTTCTAAAATTTTGTGATCTAACAACCAAAGAAGTTTGTGTTGATAAAAGGTGGTGTGCCAAAGCTGTGATTGTCACTGAACATGATTTGTTTTGAAATAAAAATTATGACAAACACACTAATGATCTTATTCTAAATAAATCAAATGCTTCATCTTTTTATTCAAGAGCAAATATTAGTGAGTTGAATAAATACTCAGTGATAGTTCCCAAACGGTGAAATAAGGTCTATTTTTAATTTGGAAACAGCCTAAGTTTGCTTATACAAAGAGAGGGAAACAAAATCATACTGGCAATAAGTCTATATTTTATTTTACTGACGTTTACACAGAATCAATTGATATATTCAGCAAGAACCTTGTTTTTAGTTTCTTTTCATTTTGCATGTACTTATTTTAATAACAAATGAGAGCAGATGAAAAAGGAAACTACATGGCAGACAGTCTGCAAAGCATGTAAGTATTATTACATCTTTTAAGATATTTAACAAACTACTAGACTGTGCTCTTTTCTTCTTACATCAATTGGCTTGAGGCAAGGTATCAGAAATAGTAAATATTTATTTTGCTTTGAAGCAATTAATGTTTAGTAAAGTGCCTCAAGGTTAAATCTGAACGAAAAATCTTTGAATCCTTTGACCCAGATTCTTACATCATTTATGTCAAAGTCCAGAAGACTCTTAAAGCCTGTGGAGTTGCTTCAAGATGTAGACTAGTTGCTTGCAATTAGAATCCAGATTAACAGGTACCCAATATTCTTTATAACAAGAAAAATGCAGATATAATGGATAAAAAAATAGTCTATCGGGAAGACCATCTACATGAATCTCACTAAAAAATTCAGTCACCTGCACAGAGACAGTAGCTTTTGTTCACTACTCCTTTTATTTTGCTTTAAGGACTGAAATTCATTTTGGGTTTAAGATGCTCATGTTTTTGTGTTTGTATTTTAGTGTAGGATAATCAGACTTTTTTTAGCTTACAACATTCTCTAATGGGTAGCATTATGAAACCTGACAGTCAACCAAATAAATGCGATTGGTTAAGATAAGTATTTTAAAATCAAATTGTTTAAGGTGTTCATTTTTGCTATGTATCTCTCACTCAAATGCTTGAGAAAGCACCTGTGAGAAAATGTGCCTATTTCTAAGCTTAACAGTTTTTTGAGGACCAGAAGAAAAAATCTGAGAAGATCAAATGAGAATCAACAATGAGGGAAAAAATGGCTTTTTAAATATATTGTCAGGAACTGAAAAATGCGTATTTATTTTTCCCTGTGTTTTCAGATTTCATAGAAATCTATGTTGTTCCATTACCAGGAGACTTTGCATATTGGTATGTGTTTCCAAGGAAATACCAGTAAAGCAGTCGGATTTAAATTTACATTATACTTTGGGCTCCCATTTTTTTCACAATTGTGTAGTCTCCTTTTCCTTAATCAGTCTATTAGATTTAAAAAAGAAAATAAAAACAATAACATTATTTGAAAGCCATAGGTTTTACGTGGTAATACAGGCAAATATTAACTGGGTGTTGTTTCCAGTGGATTTTCCTTTCATCTGTGAGATCAAGAATGGTACAGTTTATCTACTGTGTTACCAACGTTTTTTTTAGTAGAGGCATAGTCTATGTATGTTTGTGATACTTTGTATCGTTTTCACATTCTTGTTTCCATCTACCCTTACTTTTGGGGTTGTATTAATAAAGCTTTTGGAGATTCTCAAGTGGAATGTGCTAAGTATTTCTATTTGTATTCATAAAGTGAAAAAATACAAAGTTTAACATAAATCTCCACATGTAACTACATGAACAGTGACAGCTTCAGGCTTCTTGCTTTTCATCCACAGCTTACTAGGCGAGATCAGCAATGATCTCTTGCAAGCTCTCCCCAGAGGAGCCTAGAGCGACCTTTTTAATCTGTGTGAGAGTGCTGCCAAATATTTCAGTGCCCCCTGAATTTTTGTGAAAAAACCCAGTTCTTGCCAAAGAGAAGCCCAAAGGGCTTAGATAAATATATATATATATATGAGAACATAGGGAACATCAGCAGTCTGGGAGGTAGAGACGTGAAAATTGGCAGGCATCCAATTAAAGAAAAGTCCAGGCATGAGAGAAGAGAAATTCTGTAAAGAAGCATTTAACAGAAGTTAAAAGAGAAAGGTTGTATGCCTACAAGTTCTTCCTAAAGCCAATAATGCTATGGCATGAGAAGTAAAAGAAAGGTTATTAATGGGCTTTCAGATTTTGGTCTGGAAAAGAATATAAGCCATAACTTTCCTATTTGGACTTTCTAAGCCCTTTTACATAAGGGGCCTGCTGAGGATCCAGATTCTTCAGCAGTCAGTATGGGTGCTGAGTCATCAGGAAAGTTGGTCATTTGGTTTTAGGTTTTTAAATGTAGAGGTGAACATTTAAAATCCTAATCTGGAAACAGTAGACGCTCATGCGTAACTTTGGTGACCTGAATGATTTCACTCTTGGCACTGCTCTGTCATAACCTTACCTGTGCCTGTATCATATGTGCTCTTGAAAATCATAGCTTTTATGACAAACAAATATTATTTAGGTATAATAAAAATGAAGGAAAAAATGTAGGAAAGTGGCAGCTTTCAATGTCTTAGCAAGCATGAAAACTCTTGCAGGATCGCTCATGTGCTCTCACTCTACGCAGAAGAGATGGAACAACTAGACCTTGAGGGAGAGAACAGAAGAATATCTAAGTTAAGGAAGAAGGCTTAGGTTTATTTCCTGAAAATGTTAAGCCTTAGAAGAGGTGAACTTTAACTATTTGATTGGGTTATAGCTATTGTCTTCAGGGGATGAAAATACTCAGTTTGTGGCAATCTGCCTGGAGATTATCAGTTCTCTGAATAAATGTTATCAGAGAAAGCTTGTATTAACTTTATCTTTGCAGTTGATAAATTGTAGCAAAACCCAGTACAGTGGTTTGGTGTTTTTTTTTTTTTTTAATTTCTGATAAACTTATGCACACAGTTGGGAACTGTGCTAAAATAGGACCTTATTTACCACTTAAAATGTTGTGACAGAAAATCAAAATTACAAAAAAGGAAATTCTGCCTTTCTTTTGCTTTCACTATAGATAAATTTGTATAATCCAGTAGCAGTTTCTTCATAAAAAATGAAGTTTTACATTGGTGCTTCAGTACTTTATTATTGCAACAGTCTGTGCCTTCTGTATGAATCCTAGATCCAGGAATGTTTTCTAAGTATTTCCCCCTGTGAAAAGAGGGTGGAAGGAGAGAAGGGAAAGATCCTGTGTGGTTATTAGTTAAGGCAGTGTGACTGAATGCATACGTTACAGTGAGTGGGAACTCACTTCTGTGCCGGGGCAGGCCTCTCAACCACTGCGCGTGCGCTGTGCCACTGAGCTGCACGTGCGCAGGGCTGTGATGCCTGCTGTGTGCATCAGCCACAGAGCGTGGGCATCGCAGGTGCCTGCTGCCCACCCAGGTATCAAGGCCATCCAGGAAAGTGAGGCCTTGAACAAGCTGTGAGGTCTGGTGGGTTGTGCTGGCAGGCCGCGGACGGCCCAGGGGCTCGCCTAAGCTAGGCAAATGCTTCATTGTTTAGGTTGATTACAGTCCAGGTAAGCAAAACTCAAGGTGGTTTTGCATTAAGGGAAGGCTATCCAGCAAATGAATAGCAGCAGGGAGAAAGGCTGTTTTGAGGGAAGATAGTTTTTTCTAAAAACATGCTATCAAACTTCAATCCTGACTATCCACATTGTGTTCCAAGAGCTAGTTTTTGTAAGGAAAGTAATTGGAGACAGAAGTTTTAATGGGGTGCAAAAAGCCTATATGTTAAGCCTATATGTTAAGCTTTGAAGGACTAGCCATTGCATCACCCCATACAGTGTTTCTGTATTGTGGCAGTTAACCTGCAGCTGATTGGTTAGCCAAAAAAGAAGTCATTTCTCTTATTATGAGATGTGAGCTTCAAAATGAGACTGTGCCCTCATTTTCCATGAGAACTTACAACATGCAAAGTTTGTGGTTTTAAAAGTTAGTCAGCCATGTGTGAGTTACAAAACCACAATGAGTTAGAAACTTATGTTAAAATTTGAAATGCATATTTTTATTTGCTTCTAACTCAAAAGCAATCTAATCAGTTTCCTTTCACCTGGTGTAAGACTTAAGAAAGATAGTTTTAAAATAAAGGGGGATTTCTTGTCAATATTATAGCAGGGTGATAACAAGAGTCTCTCTCTGATTAAACTAAGGCAGATGATTGCACCGACACTTGTCTTAAAACGTACGTAGTTTGCCCCTAGCCATAGAGTTCTAGTCTATTCACTTCTGTAGCACCTGCTAAACTCTCAGAGCATCTCAGCAGCATGCAGATTGAGTCAAGATCCCTGGGCTCCGAAAGACAAATGCCTAATACTTGACCTACAAGTGAATTTCTGCTGCCTGTGATAGATGTACAGGGCTATCTCAGAAAGCAGTGGTAGTCTTGATTCCTTCCACTAGGAGAAAACTTGGTAAATATTATGTTATCCAGCCCTTTGTAGTAAGTAGGGCTTTCTAACATGTTCTTCGGAAAGGACTGCATCCTACTTTCAGTTATGCATGATATGCCGAAGGTATTGATTTGGGACCTTATTACCACTCTCAATCTTTATTCTAATTCTCCTTATTTCAGATGCTGGCTTTGCACAAGATCAAAAACAATGTGTCGGGTTTTTTTTCTTTTTTAATTGAACTTCATGCTGTTATTTGTCTATTTTACACCCACAACTTTTAAAACACTAGCTATTTCATGTGTGCTACCATGAATATATTATGGATGAGACCTTTGTACAACTTAAAAAAGAGAACGCAGCTGAGATGAAATGTAGATATGGGATCTGACTTAGTGACTGTCTAAAATGTATCCATGACTCAGGCCTAAAATCTGATGTTATGTGATTAGTTACTATGTTTCATCCTTGGAAGAAAATAAACATGGAAAATGCAAAATATTTTCTATATCCATTAAACGCTAATGCTTCTTTTCTGCAGTGGAAGTGGTTTCTCTGTCTTGTCTTTAGCAGTAAGAGATCCCCAAGCAGGTAACAGTAAGGATTCCCAGTAATATCATTTGATTTTTGTTTTCTTGTGGAATTTATTTGCATTTTATTTTGATCTTTTTTTAGTTTGAAAGCTCCAAAGTCTCAGTCATCTCTGTTAATTCCGAAGATGCTGCTTTATGAGCTGTGGTGAAACTAGATTTACATGGCACATGCAAACTATTTGTATGAAATATACTTGTAGATTTCTCTAGTGAATGTGCCAATACCCAAAAAGGGCATTACACCAAATTACGCAAAAAAAAAGGCAAAAAGGACAACAGCTTCCTAGTCAGTGGCCGCTATTATGGAGCATTTAAATTATGCACAAATGTAGTCCCTCTTATAGAGTATCTACATGTTGAATATGTTAAACATGTTAAATATAGCTTTCTTTCCCGTGATTCCTAAATACCCTAGCTCAAGATATAACAAATACTACTCTGGCCTGAATGAACCCAGTGAAAGTTCTGCCGTCAACTTCACTCGAGGCAAGATTTCTTCATAAATAAATTTAATAATCAGGTCTGCAGCTGTTGTATACACTTGTTCAGGTAGATCTGTTGACACTTCAGCCAGCTTAATACAGCATATTATTGGGACACATTTTCTGGACCTTCTTGATATTTGTGATTTTACTCTTTCAGATAGGAAAAAGTGGACTATTTTGGCTAAATGAAAAAGAAAGAGAAAATCATGCAGGTTGAGTATGTCTGTGCATCGTCAGACACACTTTTTAAAATTAGTCTTTCAGTTCTTCTCAGAGGTGCTTTAGTAGATTAATGTTGGTGTTCAGCAGTCACAGGACAGAAGCAGTCCAGAGCTTGTATCTGCTCCTTATAGAAAAAGTCTATAATAGAAGCAGCAGGATGACTTAATACAAAGAATTCTGAAAAAGGAAGCTAAGCTGTTCTGTGTTCTCATTTATTAGACAGAAAGGGAACTGAAGAGTAACCTTTAAGGAACTCAAATCGCACCTGAATAATTTGCATTTAGAAAGGATGTTCCTTTCCCATTCAATTGGTTTATTGAATCTGTGTTAGATTCCTGTAAATGCTGTACAGCTTTTGCATCTCCAGTACTTTGCCTAAATGAAAGACTAACCTTTGGAATGTGGCTTGGGTATATTACATTTATGTTTAGTCTAATAGAGGTGATGAAAGTCTTTGAACGAAATGGCACAAATTCCCTGGTCCTTTAGAAGCAGCCTTAACAACAATTCCACTTGGATGTTAGGAGTGGCAGGAATTAACGTTGTTCCTATACATAGGAACATGCTTCTGCTTGAAACAGCCCTCACAAATTCATGTTTCAGTAATCTTCTATGAGAGCAGAGCATGATGCCAAAGGAGGAAAAACTCAATACACCAATACACTTTTCATTCCCTTGAGGATTAAAAAGAAGGCAAGTGCGTGGAGTAGTTAGCAAGCCTCCCCTCATTTCGATTCTACTGACCTGTCATAAACAAACTTGAAACAAAGCTCATGTTACTGAACAAAAATATTTTGAAAATGAGTGTGTTGAAGAGCCAAGAGGGTTAGTGTGAATGTGGTTGCTCATTTTTTCCCTCTGCTGTACAGTATATTCTTCTTGTAAATAGTGGTCATAAGGAATTTTGCCCTGCAGATCGCACAGAAAACTATGTATCTGTCGGA